TAAGTATGCTGTGGAGAAGGAGCTTAGACACAGGCGAGATTCCACAGTCACTAAAAACAATGGATTAGCCCACTCCATCAAGGTGGCAGCAAAGTAGTAGCTAAGAAATATAGACCAATAGCTTTAACGTCCCATATCATAAAAATATTTGAAAGAGTTCTAAGAAGCAGGATAGCAAACCACATGGACTCCCAAAAATTGCACAACCCCGGGCAACATGGTTTCAGAGCAGGTCGCTCCTGCCTCTCGCAACTGCTAGATCACTATGATATGGTCCTAGATGCACTGGAAAACAAACAGAATGCGGATGTAGTATACACAGACTTTGCAAAAGCCTTTGACAAGTGCAATCATGTTGTAATATCACACAAAATACGTGTTAACGGGATAACCGGCAAAGTAGGCAGATGGATCATCAACTTTCTAACCAATCGAACATAAACAGTAGTGGTAAACAGAGTGAAATCGGAAGCTGCCATAGTGAAGAGCTTTGTCCCACAAGGCACAGTACTCGCACCTATCCTGTTCCTTATTCTCATATCAGACATAGACAGAGATGTAAACCACAGCACTGTATCATCTTTTGCAGACGATACTAGGATCTGCATGAGGCTGTCATCCGTTGTGGACACGGCAAAGCTCCAAGAAGATATAAACCAAGTTTTCCAATGAGCAATAGAGAACAATGTGATGTTCAATGAAGACAAATTCCAACTACTCCGTTATGGAAAACTGGAGGAAATAATAGTTAGAACTGAGTATACTACAAACTCTAATCACACAATAGAGCGGAAAAGTAATGTGAAGGACCTGGGAGTGGTAATGTCTGAGGATCTCACCTTCAAGGACCACAACAATGTCACTCACATCTGCGAGGAAACTGATAGGATGGATAATGAGAACATTCCAAACAAGAGATGCCAAACCAATGATGAACCTTTTTAAATAATTTATTCTCTCTAGGCTGGAATACTGCTGTACATTAACATCCCCATTCAAGGCAGGTGAAATTGCAGAACTAGAGAATGTATAGAGAACCTTTACTGCACGTATAAGTTCCATCAAACACCTTAACTACTGGGAGCGCCTGGAAGTGTTTGACTTGTACTCACTAGGGGGCAGGCGAGAGAGATATATCATAATCTACACCTGGAAGATTCTGGAGAGACTGGTCCCTAATATGCACACAGTAATCACTCCATACGAAAGCAAAAGGCTTGGCAGGCGATGCAACATACCCACTGTGAAAAGCAGAGGCGTCACTGGTACACTAAGAGAAAATGCAATAAGTGTCCGGGGCCGAAGACTGTTCAACAGCCTCCCACCAGCAATAAGGGGCATTACGGGAAGATCCCTGGTTGTCTTCAAGAGGGAGCTGGACAGATACCTAAAGACGGTGCCGGATCAGCCGGGCTGTGGTTCGTACGTTGGATTCCGTGCGGCCAACAGTAACAGCTTCGTTAATCAGGCCCTGATCCACCGGGAGG